CTGGACAAGCTCTGTACCATGGAAGAACACCCCCAACCCTGACTTCAGTAATTTGGATGCATTCTACAGTTTGAGAACACCTGCCCTAATGACCGTATCAGTTATTCTGTCTACTTTCAAGGCTTCTTAAGCCTTGATTTGCATAAGCCTTAGCAGCAGTTCTGGAATAGGGTTGTGACTCAGTTGTCCAGATGAGCTCCTGCGCTGCCATCCTGGTGGTCTACAGCTCACACTGTGAGTGGTGACACCACTGGCCGTGCAAGGTTCTCAGTGCAAGGGCCATCTGCAGTCGGCTGGCTTTCACTCTGCTCAGAAAAGGATCTTGAAGGCATTTCTGTCTGGTTGGAAACAACCTGATAAATTGACAGTGTCACCTTAGGTACAGACATGGAGCTAGTGATCCACATCTACATTTGCCACTTATAAAATTTCCTAGTTAAATCAGAATTGCCACCAAGGTCATGTTTTTTGAGTTAGGACAGGCACAAATATGAAAAAACAGTGCACCCTTTTCTCTTTGTATTAAAAGTATTTCTTCTAATATTCTAGGATTTAGTAAACAAGAACATTCACCTTAACCCTCAGTGATTCACTCAGCTGAAGACTGATGATTTCTTTTCTTTCCTGATGGAAGACAAATGCATCTTTAAGTTGGTTTCCAAATTTCTTTTCTGCCTCTTTATCCTGTTAAGAATTTTATGTACTCTTTCCTGGAGCAATTATTTCCCTTTTATCTTTCCTATAAGACTTCATTTTTCTTAGTTAAAACAAATAGCATATCATCCAAACCCAACAAGGGAAAATAACAAATGTGAGACAAATGAGATACTTCCAGAATTCCTCCTCAAGGAGGAGCATCTATAGTATAAATATACCCTATAAAATGTGCTGCTTCCACATGGATATTCTGTTAATATGAAAGAATTCCTTCTAAATGAGTATGTTTGGCTAACATTGGTAGCTAAAGAAGTTCCCTGGTTCTGAGACCAGCAGGCTACAATGGAAAGGGCATACTATTCAGGCTTAAAAAAAACCTTTATTCATATTTTTATTTCTATGTGCCATGGGCAAAGATGCTAAGTTGAAACAGCCCACCACTTACACCTCGACTTTGACAACTCCTCTGTCTTTCTCTTTTGACTCTAAACTTTCAAAACCACTCAAATGTCAGCAAAAGGGCACTTTAAAGCTGATTGCCAAAGCTCTCTGGACCGTTGGATGAAGCACAGGCTGAAGTCTGCTTGGAGCTTCAACACCAGACACCACTGATGAGGTCTCTGTGAACGGGACTTCAGGACTGGCCTGCCAGCAACGAGCCCCTCAAGCCATCTTTCATCTGAGTAAAAGACTCCATCTGCCTGACCTCCCAAGCAGACAGTCCCGGGAAGAGCCAGCACATGGAAACCCCAGCCTGTCAACAAAAAATGCAGGAATCTGGGGAAAAAGCCAGCAGCCACTTGGAGACCCTGGATCATAAATGATGAGGGGGAAATGTTGCAACTTTCTGGAATGATAGAAAAAGGGAAACATTCCCAAATCTGGGAGTAGAAACAAAAGAAAATCACAGTAGCTTATTTTTTTGAAAGTACTTGTCCATATTTTCAGCAATATGCACTGGCAATTTATGACGTGTATCTCAGCAGTATCTCAAATGAATAGGTACCGTGGTGAGCTCTGAGTTGTGTTTGAAAACTACAAACTAAGGATTGCCCACCTGCAGATGCTAGGGGGTGAGGGATAGGTGCAAATGTGTGTGTGTCCACAGACACTAGAAGCAAGGTCCCTGACTGTCAAACCCATGCAGAGCAAACCCCTTGGGGAATCCATGGCTCAAGCATTAACTCAACGAATACACTGCAGAGTGTCATCTATGTTCTAGGCTGCGGGGGGATGGCGGGAGCCTGTAAGATCTCAAAGTTGGAAGGATGTGGGCCTGCTGTTTCCAGGCCTGATGATTGCCTTCTCTCACAATTTAAAAACCTGAGGCAGTCCAAAGTCTATCGAGATAAACCAGACCCAGATTGGTGGGGTTATCAGCTCTGTGGTGTACCTTTCTGTCTA